AGAGTAAAACCCAGAGCAGATTAGACTTCTAACAGATCAGGACTGGTCGAGTAAAACCGGGAGAGGATTTGAGTTTCAAAAGATCTGGACTACATGAATAAAATCCGGAGCGGATCAGACGTCCACAGGATACGGAATGGTCGAGTTAAACCTGGAGCAGATTTGAGTTCCTAGGGATCTGGACTGGTAGAGTAAAACCTGGAGTGGAACTGATTTCCATGGGATCCAGGCAGGTAGATTAAGACCCGGACTGGATCAGACATTGAAGGGATCCAGATTGGAAGAGCAAAACCCAGAGTGGATCAGATTTCCGTGGGATTCATACTGGTAGATTTAAACCCAGACTGGATCAGACTTCCAAGGGATCCGGACAGCTAGAGTAAAGCCCAGAACGGATCAGATTTCAAAGGGATCAGGTCTGGTCGAGTAAAACCCAGAGCGGATCAGACTTCCTCGGGATCCAGACAGGTCGAGTAAAACTCATACCGAATCAAACGTCCAAAAGATCCGAACTGGAAGATTAAAGCCTGGACAGCATCAGACTTCCTAGGGATCTGGACTGGAAGAGCAAAACCTGGAGTGGATCACATTTCCATGGGATGAGGATTAGTCGATTAAAATCCTAACTGTATTAGACTTCAAAGGGATCCAGACTGGTAGAGTAAGACCCGAAGCAGATCATAATTTGAAGGGATCCGGACTGATAGAGTAAACCCCGGACTGGATCAGACTTCCACGCGATCCGGACTGGTAGGGTAAAATCCGGACTGCATCAGACTTTCAAGAGATCCGGAATGGAAGAGTAAATCCTGGAGTGGATCAACCTTCCAAGGGATCCAGACTGGAAGAGCAAAACCTGGAGCGGATCAGACTTTCATGGCATCCGGAGTGGTAGAGTAAAACTCGGAAAGGAGCAGACATACAAGGGATCCGGACTGGAAGTGTAAAACCCAGACTGGATCAGACTTCCAAGGGATCCAGAATCGTAGAGTAAAACCCAGAGCGGATCAGACTTCCAAAAGATCCAGACTGGAAGAGTAAAAACCAGACTGGATCAGATTTCAATGGGATTTGGACTGGTAGAGC